CATTTTGCTATGATGACACACACAAACACACAGAGACTCACAAAGTGAATACAATACCAGACACACTGTCACAGCTGACTAATAAACCCTGACTATTCTTTCAGTATGTGCTAATGTAGCTGTATATTAGTTTTTCGTCCATTATTTGTACCAGATAGATTAACTGTACAGATTAAACACAAAAGAAACTCTAAGAAATCCTCTGCAGCTGCGTTAATCCGTATTGAGTATTGTAATAAATCTCTTATTGCAGTAAGATGTGCTTGCTTCAAGCATCAGTGGCCTGACAGCCACACATGGGCACGCACACACACCGATTTTGTGAATAGACAGGGGATGTGTCTTGACATGTGATGGCTTTTTACTCGCCGCAGAATGACAGTGTTTGTGACTGAAGGTCGTGCTTAGATCCCTCCACTCGCGTCACACTGAACCGCCCACTGCCGCCTCTACGCAAAGCCACAGGAGCCCACTAAAAGCTTTTTTTTTGTTTTTATTAACCATTTGTTCTGGTGCACCTTGTTTTGCAGCTCCACAGTGGTAAAGCTGTTTGTAGTGTTCTCACAGCATCTTCATCCACAGAACTGTGATGGCTGGCTTGATTTCAAACACTTGCTGTTTGATGTCAGACGCCTGCTGTTTCCCTTCTTAGACATTTTGACAATAAGCTCCTCATTTTTGCTCTGTACTGAGGTTCTGACTTCCTGTCTGAGTTCTCAGATTTATAATCAAATTTTAATACGTGTTTCTGCTGCTTAATATTTTGCTTTTATCGCACTGATTTTTGAGTCTGTGTGGAGGACAGTTTTACCTCATGGTAAACTAAAGTTTGAATAAACAACCATAAACTCTGAAATTACCATTTAGTATTATATTTTATTTTATGCCATGATGCAATAAATAGAAACACTTAGATCTGGTTACATGTTTATGTTTATTTAGTGAGGTTTTGCGGTGTTAATAGGCTTATTTGTAGTTTTTTTTTTAACTTTTGACAGAGTCAAGATAGCTGTTTCCTCCGGCTTCCAGTCTTTATGCTAAGCTAAGATAACCAGCTGCTGGCTGTAGCTTCATATTTATCAGACAAACATAAGTTTGGTATCAATCTTCCCATCTAACTCTCGACAAGACAGTGGAAAAGATGATTTGCCGAAATATCGAATGATCTTTAATGTAAACCTCATTCATTGTGATTCATAAATACTGTCTCCATAAAGTATCATTGGTGTTGCGAACATTCATATTTAAAACCAAGCTAGTGCAATTAGCCCCTGAGGAGGCAGGCAGGGCTTATACTGCCAGGCTGATGAGTTCTCCTCCAGCTCTGTGCTCAGCACAGCCTCTCCTCTGAGAAGTGCTAGATCAGCTCCAGGGGGAGGCTGCGTATGCGCAGGGGGCCCCGCTGAAGATGGATTGTGCCAGTCAAGGGGAAGGTAAACTGAAACCGGAGACCGTCCACATAGATGAGGCTAGAAGCTGAGGGAGTGTGTTGTTCTTGTGATTTGCTTGAGTATAATTGTGTGAGTCTGTTTATCTACAGTATGTGCGTGTGTGGTCATGGCAGTTCGTTTGTGTCAGCGCACATCTGTGTGAGCAGTACATTACTGTGCACTTCCCTGTATTTACTAGCTATTGACCCTGTCCCAATAAACAGGCCTCTATTTGACTTATGTCTCAATCTGTGTGCTGCCCAACTCTGAACAAACAAACAGACCTTATGGGCTGTTCCTCCAAGTAAATCCCAAGCCATTGATGAAATGCACCAACTCCTTCAACAAAGTTATTATGCTCCATCTCACCTTGCTTTATATAACCTTGTGTGCTTTCTGAGAGACGCAGCAGTCTTGTGAAAAAGCCAAGAAGAATTTTAGCACTAGCTAATTAGCACCTGTATCTCTCACACATCATGTGATCAGGAGAGAAAGAGAGAGAGAGAGTGAGAGAGAGAGAAAGACAAGAGGGTAAAAGAGAGATCAGCCAACGAAAAGGTGTGAGCAAGCCACGCTGATATGGAAATGAAGGCTTTAATTATAGATGAATACATTATCAGATCAAGGCTAAGGATTTGTTCTCAGTGTATGTTGTGTTTGGAGATTGATACCAGGGGACACCTCAGACCCCTGTGAGTTTCTATGTTAGTTTACTCACAACCAACAAGAGGTCAGCGTTGAGATTTGCTCTAGTTTTTCGAGAAACATGCTAACTGAAACCAGTATTCTGAAATAGACTGACATTTTTGGACGTAAGTTAAATTGCATAGGTGGGTCTGCATTTGTGGATGATCCCATGAAGTATGATAAAAGTAATGCTGATTAACTCATCAGTACAACAATAAGTGTACAAGTGTACTACAGGACCTTGTGACATCACTGTCAGCTTTGTAATAGGTTACTCTTTAAGGTTAGAAAAATGTCCTTATCCTCATTTATAATTATTGTTAAATTCTGATTGGTAGGTGGGGATATGTGGCCTTTTTCCAGTATAGCTCTACCTACTTCAAACCAGAAAGAAAAGCACAGAATTAACCACAAAGTTTGGGGTGTTTAAGTGTTTTAGAAGAAACATTTTCAGAGCTTTTAAGGTATTTTAGCCATGCTAGCAGTGTGGCTATAGGAATAGAAGTACAATCTTTTGTCTGGATTATAATGAAAAATGGTCCCCTGAGGATGAATTATAATAACTTTGGCCCTTCACCTTTCTTCTTGCACCATTTAAGGTCAAATACTGGATATAAGAACAAACACCTGATAAACTTGATGACATTCAGATAAGTCTCAGCTGTATTTTGCTAACTAGCAAATGTTGGCACACTAACGCGTTGAGTAACATAAAGAACGTGAAAAAACTGATGAATGTCAACATTTTAGCATTGTCATTGTGAGCATGTTAGCATGTTGCTGTTAGCACTTACCTCAAAGCAAAACCTCGCAGAGCTGCTAGCATGAATGTACAATAATCTCAGATTACAGATACAGATTAAAAGTTAGTGACTCATATTGGCAACAAATTCTTCCCCCTTGTCCTCAAAAGCAGAGCCATAATAAGTTTAGTTGATGACTAAAGGCTGGCAGCTGCTTTACACCTCCAACTGAAAAGCAAATGAGAATTACCCAAGAACAGTTCCTATACTGTAAAAACCGCCTGATCAAAATCAATATGGGCTACACACAGGGAAATTCAAGAGTGCTTTAAATTAAAACAGGCAGGACAAACTAATAGAGCCAATTGCTTTGACTCTGTGGAATTATACTGTAGGGAGAGGGAAGTAAAAAAGACTAATTAAACCAGTAAATTCTCTCCAGGCTTCAGCCGTCCGCCACTGCACTGCCAGCCATTTGTGTGTGGTTCTATCCCACAGACTCCAAGCACCGCCTCCCCAACAAAGCAATAGAGAACAGAGATCCAAATAAAGTTATAGAATGCAATTACTTCTCCAAAGTATCAATAACAGCTGGATTATTTTAGTGGAATTGTCTTTACAGTGCTCTAACACTGTATGGTGTTTGCAGTGTTCTCAGTATGTCTGGGGTGTGGTGTACAGAACAGTCTGATAGCAAAGAAAATAAACTGAACCTTAGGAATTTTTTTTTTTTCTGTCAAATGCAGCCATGGTGCAAAGGTAGGATCCAGCAGGCAGTTTTGTGACAAGAAGGCGGCGAGGCTGTGACACTGTACAGTTTGTGCAGACTGACAGCTACAGCAAACCCTTAAAAGTGCTCTTTCATTCATCCGCCAGTCTGCCAAGCTGCCCTTGCTGCCCATGAGCAAGGTCATCTGGGGAGAGGGAGGGAGAAATGGCAGCACTTTAGTGTTTTGAGCATTTACGGTCATCTTTTATTGTATTGATGTACCTCATGAATGTAGGGAATTGAACAATCAAAGGAGCTGTGTCACTGTTTTACCAAAATAAGACAAGTCATGAGTCCAAGGTTGCTGCTGATCTAATGAGCCCCTAATTTAATTGATTAAATAAAGGAGAGCCTTGAAATAAAAATAAAAAAATCAAAACAATGTGGCCTCTTTTGGCCATTGCTACATCAGGGAGGAGAGACAAACACCGACACACCCCAGCTGTTTTGGGACGGTCTGTTGAAACCAAGCCCCGAGGCCATAACGCTCATTTTCATCGTCATTCTGTTCATTATGCCCAGTGTCTGTTCCTGCAAAACAAACCCATTTAATAATCTTGTTTGTTTAAAATAAACTTGGAGCACTTCTTGGAGGTTGCCTACACGCTGTTGGCTCCTGGGAACGACTGATACTTCATTAAAAGTGACTCCCATATGTTGATTTAGATTTTGAGGCTTGCAGTACAGTGTACTGTTATGTTTGCATGAGATTAATAACAGCTTATTAACAATAGGAAAATAGCAACTTATCTTCCATGTTTACATGAAAACGCATGATGCATGTGGAGCTTGGTATATCATTAAATTAAGGGACCATTCATAATGTGAATGATAAAAATGATGGATAGCGTGCAATCAAAAATCAATTCCTCTTTTGCTTTAATTTCAATGTTGAGTCTCACCCAGTTTTGTGTGTTCATATTTTTTGCCACGCAGCATCTCTCACACATGGCAGTGATGAATTGAAGCAATATGATGTCTCATTTTGTTGTTTTTTTTTTTTTTTCTCCCCCCCTTTGACGCCTGTCTCTGCATCATTTTATCTTTTTATGCAGCCGCATGTGGCTGATGGTCATATTATGCATGGTGGCTGGGTTTCTATTATGTTGCACATGGGTACCGCTCTGCAAGTAGGCCTACATAAGGAGCAGAAAATCTCTGTTGTTCTCCATATTATTTTTTCAGTTTTATTGTTTTTATTTGTTTTCGACAAAGAGAGAGAGAGAGAGATGCTGAATGCTGAATAGCATTTTTACATACAAGGCGGTGATGCTAATGTTTGTCCCCACACACACACATGCACAAACATAAACTTTCACATATGTGTTGCCTCTATTAATCTGCTGTTGTCTCTCTTTGGTCCTTGTTTAGAATCACAGTGCACACTGTGTGGTGAACCAGAAGGTGAGTGGGCCTCGCCATTCCCCAAAAGCTCTTGTCATCGTCATCTCCCGGCTTGTTGTTTGCTGTTTGGGGAGGGTGGGAAGAGGAGCGGGGGCGACGCTTTGCTGCAGACACACTGTTCTTCAGTCTTCAACTCAGTAGAGCAATGGCGCAGGCCAGTTTTTAGGTTCCATGTAAAAAGAATACACTATATAAAGATAATGTCCTGGCTTTCATTCACTGTAAAGCATTCAGACAGCAGCCCTGCACATTTCAAACTATCACAGGTGTAGAATGGACTAGGTCAACAAATGTAATTCCAGGAGACAGCCATCTTTGTGCACTTGAGGTTACACTTACTGACCTGACTGATTGACGGCATGAAGGCTGAAGGACACATCTTCAGAGTGCTGACTAACCACACTTGCTTCTGCTTCACATCTCATTGAATGTTATGATTTTTGTGTACACATTTTAGTTTTTTAGATTTTAGTGTTCATGCACTCATGCACATGTGTAATTGTGTGATCATGCGTGTCCAACATGATCCAGATGTATTTGAATGGCTGAAAGCTGCTTAGCTCTCGAGCCTGCCACTACATTGTAAGTGCTCTTCTCATGCTACTGACACCGCCTAATCCTCCATTTCCAAGTGCAAACCATTCCCATATGTCTCCCATTTCATTCCTAAAACCACAGTTCATCCCTCTGCATGGATTATCATTTTTCAAGGGGTGATTATTCCTTTTTGGTCCCCTTCCCATTATTGCCCAGGCGTTTCCTCTGTTGTAGCTGTAGTCGGGTTTCATATGGCAGTCTACTGTTACTGACAATCTTACTAAACAAAAGTGACCAGAAATTACTGTGAATACAATAGGAGCTGACAGCCTTGTTTACATTTTGCAGTGAGAGGGGTGAATCTAGAAATAAAGTATAAACATGTTCAGTGACAGGCTCAGTGACAGATATGATATTTCCCTCTGGACTTAACCTTGTCCAGGAATCAGCTATGTGCCTCTAAGCCCAATAAGCATTATTCAATGTCTCAAAAATCAATGGGGCTCTCTCTTCTTTGCTTGATTGGATTAAGACGTAATCAAATCGAACGCGATAACTGTGTGCCTGTGACCTTCCCGCTGAGACAGGCAGAGAGAGGAGGGAGGAGAGGCCTGAGGGAAGGACGGGGAGTGTGTGTGCATCCGTGTGTGTTTACAGTGGTTTATGTGTGCAAAGATGTGTGGAGCTGGGCAGAAGGGAGCTCCCAAGGCACCTCCATGCTGTTGCTTCATGTTGCACAGAGCATCAGGGCCACAGGGCCACAGAGCCACAGGGAGAAGCATGGTGTCCCTCAAACCTCAAAAGGCAGAACAGCCCCGGAGAGAGGGTGTGTGTGCGTGTGTGTGCGTGTGTGTGCGTGTGTGTGCGTGTGTGTGCGTGTGTGTGTGTGTGTATGTGTGTGTGTGTTCAGAATGATTGTGGAAAGAAAGAAGGTTTTTTTGTGTCTGTAGCTCTGTAGCAATCCTCAACATTTCTTTTGAATACTGACTGAAATCTGTTGATAACACTGAGTATCTAAAACTGTTAGTTAATAAAACCTGACATTCAGTGCCTGAAGAGATTGTCTTTATACCTACAACATTAAACACTGATGCATTTAAAAAGAGCGGATTTGTGTTAAATAGATGAACAGATTTTCTAGAAAAATATGGTTAAAAACTGTTTTGGTCTCCACCACCTTTGTAGAAGCTAAATGCTCCTCTTTATTCACTAGATAGTGGTTAAAATTTAGAGCTGCCCCAACCAAAGCTTTTCCTGGTCTTTTAGTAGTCATTAGTTCAAGCCATTAGTCGACTATTCTCCATATGCTTTGTTCATGATATTAATTTAATTATTTAAATGTATATTTTTGTGGGGGAATCAGAAAATGCTTCAAGTCCAGGGCTGTGAAAGAATGTTATGAGTAATATTACTAACACTGTGCTACATTACAGAGAAATACAAAATCCTAATAATGAGCCTTTAAAGGTTCTGTAAACGATCATCACTGCCACTAGATCAGCACTAGACCAGTAGCATCTCAGACCACAAAAACTCTTCGTCCGGCAAAGCTCTAGCCTCCCGCTCCCAGTCAGTGAGGTGTTATGAAGACCAGTGAAAGCGGCCACTAAACACACAATAAGGAGCACAACTGAATAAAGTTACCTTGTGTACACAAGAGCCAACAAAAAACAACCTAGCCACAACCATTAGCCCATGCTATCTTATCACAGTAAGCTCCACAGCAATGCTGGCAGTAAGCCTGTTAGCGATAGCAACATTTGCTGAACAAATTCATGTTATTGGTAACAGCAAGATTGCTAACATTATCATGACTTCTGTAGCTGGTCACTGATAAAAACCAATGTGTAACATTAGGCAGCCCTCAAGTTAATTACACAAGGAGGAGAAAAGCCAGTTCTGAGTCAAGCTGGAGCCCATATATCTCCATCTTGATAAAGACGGACCAGTCCGGCTGAGTGTGGACTTATACACCGGGATCAGCTGCACAAATGACAGAAAAAGATACTGATGGAGCCGGTAAAAACTTAAAAAACTTTATGGATGTTTTGCTGAAAACAGTTGCCTGCTACACTTGAAAATTAGGTTGATACAAGAGGTGAGAGTGAACCAAACCAGTAAAGGTACAGGTCATAAAACCAAAACAAAATATAAAAAATATAAAAACTATTCGAGATTAAAGATTAGTGCAGCTTTAATTTCCTCAGTGTAAAAAAAATTACTATTTTGTAATATTTTTCAAAACTGAGGTATCACGTTGTCACTGCTGCTTGAAATTAAATAATATACCCAGCCCTTATCTCTCTGTTTGCACTGGGAATTGTTGGAAAGGAATTGAATGCATTTACAAGGCCGACCAAGGCCTTATTGCCTGCAGGTAGTTGCTGTCCTGCGAGAGAGACAGAGAGAGAGAGAGAGGGTGTGTGATGGTGTGAGGCAGGAAGTCAGAAAGAGATTGAAGTGCAAACATGCACATTTGCACATTTTGTCTCCCTGTCTTTGTGCAGAATGCTGAGCCAGGGGCAACATGTCCTGTTGAGACCCTAACCCCCATATCCCTTAACACATATACATCACATAACACACACACTAACACATAAAACATTATTGGACACAATCTTGGGTGACAGCATAATATGAAATAGATATTTATAATTTTGAAGGGTGTAAAGGGATTTCAGTTAAGTGTTTTCCAGTAATAGGTTGTTACAAAGTCCTAGTGTATAGTTTTATGGAATGTGTTTAATTAAAGATTGTTTCTACTGAGTAATTTGTAGCACTTAATTCGTCATGGAGCATTTTCTTGCCATACAGTGCACAATCTGAATAAGAGCTTGAAATGCTGAAGGCACGGCTGCTCAGTGAACATAATGAATAACTCCTGTAGAATATTTGTGTTTAGATTATTTCTTCAGTTTGAACTCTCCATGCAGTAAGGCCAAAGGTACTGTTCTGTTTTGTTTTTGTTTTTTTTTTTTCAAAGATGCACCAATTACCGCTTTTCCTTGGGTTGTTGGGTGAAATGGACCGTGCCCCAAATTTGAAATGAAGTACAAGAAAACACGGCGCCAAACAGTGGAGAGAAAAAAAACCACCCAACTGAGAAAGAGAAACCTTGTGACATAAAATAACACACTTTTATGCAGCGTAGAGAAAAAATGAGAGGACGTTACTGTGTCAGCTGTGTCTGTAAACTGTTCTTGCTGCAGAGAGAGAAATCAGAGGTCTGAATAATAGCTATTATAGAACAAGGGCAGGGAGGACACTTTCATAGACAAGGCGGCCTTAAATCTAAACATTATTGAAAAGTCTAAATCACTGGACTCACCTTGACAGCCGCTCTGTGACTTCAAACCACAAAACTGAAATTATTAGCAAGAGTCATACCCAGAGAATACATAATACCGCTAATGAAAATTCAAATAAGCCTAGTCAAGGTCTGACATATGGTGTCGTTGTCATTTCGCATTGCTCATGTGGGGGACAAAGAAATCACAGCTGTTTTAGTGTCAAAATAAGGGCCCCGTCCTTCGGCTGATGCATGGACAGTTTACTCACCGACAGCAGGAGCAAATGCGAGACGGAGCGCTTCATCATTAACCGAACCTTCACTGAGACCCTGAACTTCGCTGTGAGGGAGAGAAGGAAAGAAAATGGTTGAGACAGAAGGGGGTAGAGGGAGGTGAAGTGTGAGATGCATCAGGGAGGACAGAGAAAGAGGGAGAAGAGAGTAAAGGGTGACTGGACAACATTGTCTCCCAGAAATGTTGGTCATATACTACTAATCTGTGTAGCTAGTTACGTTTTGATACAAATTCATGCATTTTTGTACCTCAGGGAAATCATAGTGAGGCGCTTGGTGTGGATGGTGGGCATACCAAGCATTTCACCCCCATCTTTCAAAAGGTGTAGGGTGAGCAGCGCATTAGCAGAGCGACAGCAGCAGCAGCAGCAGCAGCAGCAGCAGCAGCAGCTTCGGTGCTTGGTGCTCCATGTGTGTCCACACAGGCGCAGTAGGTCAGAGCTCTGGGTCAACTGCATTTTACAAGCGCTCAGTGCCCAGTAAACAATACCTGTAGTTACTGTAACATTTACAATCGCTGTAGTTAGCATAAAAATACACTTCAGGTCACGTTTATGGGTGTATTGTGCAAGTAAAATGCCAGCCATGATGTGGCTTGTGTAGAAAGCTGGATTATATAGAATAGGAGCTTATCTGTTCCATTAAACTTGTGTGAGATAGACAACTGAAAAACATGTTTGTTTGCTTTTTGTAGAAATGCAGTAAAAATGTTTATTCATGCTTTAGCTGGTATGAATGGATATTGCGCTGCAAGGCATATAAAACGAATAAAAAGCAGTTTTAGTAATAACCTTTTATGTCTTGGATGGTAGGTTCATTAACAATGTTTTCCCATATTGATAAAAAACAAAATCCCAGTAGCATTACATTTCTATCAAAACATATTTGCCCTTGCAAAGTAGCAGTAAAGGTAATTTCTAAGAGAAGGGGTCAGAGAGATTGAAGAAAAGATAAGAAAGAAAAGACATTTGCAGAATGAGAACATAAGACGAGAGACAAACAGTGACAGCATTACTCCCACCCAATGTGTAGAAGTCACACGACCAAACATTCAGCGAGACTGAATCGAGCAGTTCAGCTCAGCGTGGTGCTTATATATTGCTGTTGCTGTTTTTTTCCATAATTCCTTGACGGCTCCTCCCCAACTCCACTGAATGAATGTGTGTTGGCAACCAAGCGCCTACATGTCACATAAGTCAGTGTACTGAACTGTGATCCATTAAGCAGCAAGCTTTCATCCATACATTCAGCCCGTGTACTTCATCAGCGCTGTTAATGGATGCCTCTCAGTGACGTTGTGGTGCACAGACTCCTCCATACTCAAGCGTCGTATGTATTCAGGCCCCTGTAGACATTTCCTCAGTCGGGGGGGGGGGGGGGGGGGGGGGCATCTTGGAGTTATAGGTAATATCATTACGCCCTAATGCATATTCTCCCTGTGCCCAGATACACTGTCCTATATTGAATTGGGCAGCATGGATTTTTAATTTTCAGGAACCCATTTACATTGTATGTTGGCTAGACGGACAGGATGCACGCCAGACTGCTAGCCAAGGTCAGTGTCCAATATAGGGAAGGCTTGTTGGTAGGTGTGAGGGGAGTACTGATGCTGTGCCTTATGAAACACAGAAGCGCAAGAGCCTTGATAATGCACTCTGCCCTCATGCAATTTCCATGTGCACTCTATTTCTGGTTGGCTGATAAAAAAAAATTTGTTGTGTTTTTAAAGTCAAATAAAAAAAAATTAAAATTCATTTTTGGTAAGAAATCAGAATAAGCAGAATAATCAGTGGTATTTGTTTTGTCCTCTGTTACTTGGTCATGTTTTTAATTAGCAGTAGAAAGAAACTGATTATTTATTATTCTGAAAATGTCGTTTACTTCTCCATTGCTCACTCCAATCTGTGATTTGAACATTCCCTAGTTCACGCTCATGGTTCACAATTTTGTTCACGGTTCCCAAAAAATGAACTAGTTCACATTTATTTCTTACGTTTTTTTCTTTGTTGTTGTTTTTTCAGTGAGCTGCTCTGAGCTTTTCTTTTTCAGTAGAACCTCCTCCTACCCATCCATCCCCAGCCCCCAACCATTGCCATTTGCCAAACTAAATGAATTACTATATACTACTATAGACTCACAGATAGAGGTTACTTTTAAAAGCCAATAAAAACCAATGTAAGTATATGTTTTACCACTTAAACAAAGTGTCATAAAGCAGCATGTAATTCAGCTCTATATATTCTTTTTTTATTGTGCAGAAAGGCACAGCCACATAAAACTTATAGGAGGACTCATAGAACTTAAATATAGGAAAATGGTAAGAGCATCAGTAGCTTTGACTCTCCATGTTAGCGCTGTGTGTTGAAATCTCACAAAGCTGCAGTTTCTGCTTTTGATGCTCAAGTTGGCATATTCAGAGACCTTTGGCCTTCAGCTTGACAAGTCGTGTCTCTCAGCTTAAATCTTGGGCTGCAGCTTTCCCGGCCTTTGCCAGCAGATCTGGCCGTGCTCCATACACCATACTGTACACAGTCAAGGAGCCAAACAGCCTGACGGCCAACAGTGCAACATTGGATTGCAGTTGCCGTTCTCAGCTCTGGGAGGCCGACACAATGTTTCAGGGGCTTAGTGTTTGAGAGGATGGCAAAGCAGTAGCTTTATGTCACTAACAGCCGTCTGAGAGAGAAAGAGAGCGAGCGCGTAGAGAGAGTAAGAGGAAAATATAACATCTGAAGATTGCCTGCAGCTGCCCAGTGAAGTGGGATTAAGAAAACATGCTATTTAAACTGCAAGCAATTTTTTTCCTTCACCAGGCGGCAAGGAAAAGTGCAGCAGGCAGTCAATCTTTTGAGCTTATCATCAAGTAACCAAAGTTGCTCTCTCAGCTTTCTCCACCCTTCATTCTGTTTTGAGTCGCAGACACACACAGAGAACCACAGAACCGCCACTTATTGTCACTCAACACACTTTTTTGACGTTTTTCCTCTTTTCCGCTTTGATATTTTTACACTTAATATAACCCTTCAGTACATTTGAAATGAATTTTTAGTGTCCCGGGGAGAGTCTTTCAGTTAGGTACGTGACATACAGAATCTTATCAGGCCGATATAATGAAGGAGGCTGCGAGGAGAAAGTTGTGGCAGATTCCTGGCACTGTCCCAGATATTCCATGCCATCTAATCTAGCTTCAATTTGAGTGCAGGCATGACAAATGTGTGGGGACGTATCTGTTCTGGAGATTGAAATGGAACACCTCTCTCTTTCTCGCACTCTGCTGGCATCGATCTGTCCGGCTCTGACGCTCCAGTAACGCTAAAATCAGTGGCTAGAGTAATGAGAGGGCAGAGATACAGACACCTTACCAGGTACAAGTTAGTGAGAGGCCTTCAGCGGCTTCAGCAGAAGTTCAGATCAGAGGTACTTTCTGTCTTTCTCGCTCCACCACGATCAGTATTTTGTTTCCGCGGAGTGACATGAGAAACCGCAGGCTGCGGGTGAGAATAGGAGCTTTAACCGTGTGTGTAGGTGTATGTGTGTGTGTTTCCCAGGTGAGTAGCTGTCCAGGTTTGGCTGTAATGGCTGCAGGGGAGTGCATACGGAGCAGCTTTGCTCACAGAATCCGGGGATAGCGAGGGGAAAGCTTGACATCACTCCAGGCGAAAGACTGATGAGCAGCAGAAACATCGGGGGGAGGTTTGAATCAACTCAGACGGGAATCTCTTGGATGAGCTTTTTGTGAATGCTACCATTTATGACTCATTTAAAAAGAAACACAACAAGAGCTAGTTGGCAAAAAAAAAAAAAAAATACTTGTTTTCTGTTTCATTGAGATGACTCAGAGAATAATATATCTCCAAATATTTGTGTCGTTATCGCCCATAAGCATTATTGTTCTGAGGCAGAGTACAGTCAATAAAATGAGATTGATACTTTTGAATTCATTGCTGCCTCTAACTTCACTGTGGCTCATCCGCTTTTATTTGGCTCTGGGGGTGATAACATGAGCAGCTGACCATCAGCATGCAAATAGTCTCATTACAAGGAAAGCTCCACGGGGGGCTGTGGTATAACTTGGCCAGGGGAGGTGTCATCTCTCTGCTCCTGGTGCAGACATCATTCAACTCCCATTTGAAGATGGCGGTTAAATGTCAAACAGTCTGCTTGATCATCTGGATACGGCGGTAATGTCTCTATTGGTTAGTTAACAACACTCAAATAGGAAACTGGATAAAACCACCAGATGTTAGGTATTTTTTGGATGTTCAACATCAGCATCTGCTTAGTTCAGACATCACTCCACATAGCTTTGTTTGAGTCTCATTTTCCCCATTAGACGAACACACAACTCACTGGGCAACTGTTGGACTCTTGTTTGAGATACAGTTGCTCACAATCATACTATATCTACCAGGGATGCACCAATTAAGTACCATAGCAATATTTTGCCAATACTGACATGAAAGCAGAGCCAGTAGCAGCCATGACAGTAAAAGTGTACACTACAGTGTTTCCGCCATCAGTTACATTCATTCAGGCAGGAAGGAAGAAGAGCACTGGTACAGGATCAATACTCTGTATCAGCAGAACCGCAGAGCCGAGGTCCTGGAATCAGCATCAGGGGAGGATCAAGTCGGATTGGTGTATCTTTATTTCTACATCCTACGAAGTTTAAATAATTGTGTTGAGGTGTGATGTGGTGACTCACATTGTTGTCTAAACACACCCCATAGTTTGCTGACTGGTCCAAAACATATCCGCTAGACTGGGTGGATTTGCATTGTATATTCTCTATGGCTTAAATCACATAAAGCTCATTTCTCATTTGAGCTTGAGAGCTGTTGTTTGGCTTTGTGAGCAGATGTTACAGTTTGATGGAGGAAGAGTTAAAACTTTTCATTACATAACAGCACAAGTAGCCTCGGTAAAATGCTTTGCGGCCCAGTGGGGTTTTAATTAGCAGTTGGCTTCACCTTTGCTGTACTTACACCGAAAGCCTTTGGTTGCCAGTCAGTAAGAGGAGGATGCAGGTCTTACCTTGCTAGCCTTTTAGCCGTCCCTCCACAGCGTCGTCCACTGGACTTTGCTGACGGACCAGAGGGTTTGTTACACAGGACCATCTTTGGAAACTGTTTGGAAAAAGGGCGGGCCCTTTCAAAGAAATACTTGGCAGGTGATTGGTTGAATCATCTGTTTATCATATGACGTGGTAGGAGACTGCCAAAGAGGAAACAGAGCACATCATCGAGCCGAGGTCTGAGTAGCTTTGACAGCGAGTTAGCATGTCACTAAATAATTCTTGCCGTCTTTGTGAGGAAAATTTGCCTGCCTTGTAAGGTTACTTTGCTGCTGTTTGTCGTAAAACAATATAGTCAGTGATTTAAGTAAGCTGAAAACCACATCCCTCTCACAAATCAGGTCTTAATCACAAATGAGTCCGCACTGAAACAAAAGCACTTACTTTGATATATGTGCAGTGCATTGTGTTAACGCGAGGCTCATAAACAGGATGAAGGATTCATAGAGAGAAAGGAAAATTACACCAATTTGAAGTATTATTACCCATATGAAAACATTTATTCCAAATATTGTAAAAATGGAGCGAAGGGTCAAAATTCAATGTCAACTTTAATTGACCATTACCATTTAGATTCAGGTAGGAAAATAATCCTTAATGGGCACTGGTCCCCCATGATTATGTTACCTTGCACGCCGTCTGTCTGACTCTCTGTCTCTCCTTCTCATGGTCTCTTATGTCGAGTGGTCCTCGTCTTTCTTGCACGCACCATCCTAAAATTAGCACATCATACTGAACAAAGCAACATATGAAAACTTGAAACTTGATGTGCAACATAGTTATATCAGAGTACTGCATTCAAATAATCACATTTTCCACAGCTTGTTAATTTTTATCACTGTATTATGTAACACAAAATGGCAGTTTAGAATCCGTCTAATTGCTGGTAAATATCTCAACCTTATCTATTTAATTAAAACCAGGGAAAGAGTATGACATCCACTGAGGTTTTCAGTAAATTCAGACGGGTAGAAAGAATTGGTTCACAGAAACACACAGAAGCCTTCAGATCACCAGGTCTCATTCTCTCTGGTTCACTTCCGTCTGTCCTGCCATTGTCCTCCTCTTAATATGAGTGTGTCCACTGCCTCACACTGCTGTGGTTATCAGTTCTGAGGTCTTCTCCCTGCGGGCACTGCCTCTTTCTTCAGAGCTGCTTATTAAAACCCCAAACCTGGCCTCTGGGAGCCTCTTACTATCTTTCTCCTTCACAACCTCTTTCTCTCTCCCCTTCCTCTTTAAACACACACACTCAGGGGCAAAGGTGGGAATTTCTTTCCAGTTTGTTCCACTCAGTCAGGCATGAACTCTTCAGCTTTTTGGGCAACAAGAACCAATTACTGTAATAAGACTCATAAAATTCCCCTGCTGAACCACCAATGTCATCATTCCACATCATTTGTCTGCTGGTGCTTGCATTTTAGACAACACTGGCCTATATGATCAAGAGCCTCATGTGTATGGAGCCCCAATGAAATTAATCATTGCTTTGCAAAAATGATGGCGCCTTAGAGATGACGGTGATTACAGAGCAATGCAAACTCACCGTATTTAAGGCCTGCATCCTTTTTTTGATTAAAATCAAAGTTTATTGGCGTATTTTTATTCATGAAGTCTCCACAGATGCATCGCTTGGCTAGCCAAGCGTTAGACAGGGCCAGAGATATCGGATGATGCACTGGCTTGCTAGTGAGTCGCGAGCACACTGTTGCTATGTATAGGCTCGGAGCATTCAGAAGAATGGATCGGGAGAGTGTAAGACTGATGGCTACTGTCAGGCTGCAGCATGGGTGAATCATGAACACTCCTATTTTCACCCATCTGAATTTCCACATAATGTTTCCCCCTCTTGAACATTTCCTGCCGGAACAGTTGTCTCCTGTTCACTAGCATTTTATTTTCATATGATTTTGCAGGGTGGTATAGGGGAACGAGGGGCCTGATCCTTTTCATTTCAACCTAATTGACGTCATTGACTTTTGACACTGTGCTCCCAGAGCTGCTCATAAAACAAGGAGGGCTCCAGCTTGATGACACAGTGCTCATCAGTTTATTGTGGCGCATTGTTTACAACTTGATAAGCTCAAACAGCTTGAGGTCACAGAGAGAGAAGAACAATCCCTTTATGTAACAGGGAGACTCAGTCCTTTGCGCCCTATGACAGACAACAAGTCTTTCAGAGACAATGAATCACCATGATGTGGGAGATAATGAGTACAACACACAACCTCCAGTAGAACAGTGGGGCTGTTTTTTTACTCCATTCAAGGATGTGCTGGTTTCATCGCCAAAAAACGGCCTCACTTTTTGCTGTTCCTGTCTTGTTCACGCACTTGCACCAAAATCACATTATCATGCTCTGCAGACTCTTCATTTAGCTAGATATTTGACTCAGTAGAGCTGGGAGAAGACATTAGATTCTGAGCGCATGTCGACCAGCAGGAAATAGGCTTTTTTTTTTTTTTTTTCATTTGGTCTTCTCTTTTCTGCCCTGATGACAGTAGACAAACCTCACAGTCCATAGGAAATCCCATGATATCACACAATGTACCACAACACTGTTTTTAATAATATGCGTGTTGGGTACATGTGCATCCACTACATTGGAACGTATATATTATGGATATAGTGCTTCAGTGACCACTCTTTCTGCAGCTCTATTAGCTATTAACCTCAGTGCAACTCAGGTGAACGCAAAATGAGTTGAGCAAGTCAGACAGATTTCCCAGCGGCCCGGAATTCATTGCCTCCAGTCGAGCTAAGACTTTGTAGCGACACAGCACACATATGCTCAGAGGACCAAAAGTTTAGCTAGGAAAATTGAATGACGCCGAGGAAACAACATCGCCATTATCTCTGTAACAAAACTAGGTCCTGCAGTATTAAATCTTACATAATAATTCAGGTCAATAACCGACTGCAGTCTCTAATTTTCTTGTCATTATGGCGCTCTGCGTCTGATGAGCTGTCTTGCCTTATTCTTTCCAGCGACTTCTAGCACATAGTATTTCCCTTTTTATGTCATTATAAACTGTCCCTTATTAATAACATGCAGCACTTGAAACACAAAGCTTTAACACTTAAAGCTCATTCCCATTCATGACAGCCATGTCTGCGTGCCTCCGAGGTGCAGTCCTAGAGCTGGAGACACACTTTTCATGGCTAAAAATAAACACATCTCATGCTTCCCCCATTATGATTTTGGAGAGGAGACACACACACCCAAAGAGCATTAATAAGCAAGAGAGGGACAGTGCCCACAGCTTGAACTGCTGTAGGGGGCTGTCATTATTTTCAGCAACAATTATGACAGAACTGCACTTCTGTGAGTTTCAGCTGCCCCCTCCCCTCCTCTTCAGTCCCTCCCCATCAGGGAACATTTGAATCATCCATGTGAGTGAGGCTGATGCGCTCACAAATGATTTTTCTCCTCCCACACAAGTTTTGGAGAAGTGTTATTTCTGAAGTCTTTGTTTCGAAATGATTTATCGGTGGTACGGTTTAGAAATTATCCCAGTAACTACCGGAGGGGGGTTAGGACTGAATACGGCCCTCCGATGATGATGATGATGTGAATCCCGCCAAAAAGTCTCGTAGTTGCAATGATTGCAGTGATTTGGTTTCTTTGTCCGGGAAATTCACTCTGTGCGTCTGAAAAGAAGAATGAGTGCAGCCTTTTGTTGTGGCCGACTATGTTCAATCACAGTACCTCCTGTGGCAGGCCTACCTCGGGACACAATAGCCGGCCCTTTTGGCCTGGTCTGTGTGTGATAACCAGCATCAGTGTGACGTGGCAATAATCCAAGATCAGCGGGGTTAATAGTGTGTACTGTGTCCTCACCCTAAAGGCCCCCACTTCCTCGAGGGGTTCACATAACGACTCAATGCCTGGGTCCGATGTGGACCTCGGGAAACATTAATTCCTCACCCAGCCTCAGTGGAGGTCACTTTGGGTTAATCTTTGAGGCAGGAAGCTGAGCCGTGGAGCCGTGGATGATGGATGGATGCCATGACTCATGGTCCTACCATCAGATGTGTTTCTCTTAAATGTAATTCACCCTGTTGCTTAAGAAGCAAGAATCATGTGGAGGTAGAATTAAACCTGTTTTGCATTTTTGTGAATTCAAAATGAGGGAGCAGTGACATTCTTATAGTATGCCCATTTTGCAGCAGCAGGGTCACTACCTCTGAGCTCAGCTGAAGTGCTTTCAAAGAGCACACAAGACACTTAATTTTGGTTCACTTTAAAACACTGCACACTGTGACAGCCAGGCCCACTTAACGTTCATTCTAAAAACCAAACAATCCATCACTGTCGGCCGCGCAGGCACTTCTGTAGAAGTAATGCAACCTGTGGTATTTCCTCCCGGCGCCCTGAAGACCTCTCCAAACTGGTAAAAATCTCCCCTCGCACTGCCACTTATCTGCCCCGTGTCTGGGGTGCAACAGCCGAACACTTGCAAAAAACGGAGCACTTTCTACGAGACCTTCAGTCTGAATGGAGATCTCTATTACTCTCCGTGTCTCTCTTTCTTTCTGGTGTCTGTCTGATTCATTGAAGTCGATTCATGTTTTTTTTTAAGCTGTGGGATGACAACAGCTTGATAGAAGCTAGTTCGTTATTGTTTGTTCTCATCGGCAGTGGGAGGTGAGGAGGTGGGTAGATGGTATGTCCATGTGTTCTTGCTATACAGAGAGAGTTAAATTGAGACAGAACCTTCCTGGCTGGAGCACAGCAACCTACAGTTATTTTAATCACCAATTAATCTATTGGTTACTTTTTTATTAATTGATTCATTGTTAAATAAAAATAGTGCAAAAAATAAAAATGTCACATGTTTCCCAGAGCCCAAGGTGTTCTTGAGCTATGCTAGGGACACCACTTTGGTCCAGACTGAATAACTATTGGAGGCGTTGCCGTGTAATTTGGCACAGATATTCATGGTGCCCGTA